TTCGCCCCGGTTTTGGATGCAAATGTGGGGGCCCCGGGGGGGGGGGGGGGGCAGGGAGAACAAATCGCCAGCGGTGTGACCACACGAAAGGCGGACGGCCACAGGGGTAGGGGTATAGGGAGCGGGGAGGGGGTCAACGGCCGAATGTGCTAGTGGAAACAGGCAAGGGACACGGGGGCAGAGACAGCGAGTATTATAGGATAAAGCGAAAAGAGAACGACACAGAGAAGAACAAGTTTTTGAGAGGTATGCTGATGGTAGACGGCGCCGTGGAGCAAGAGGAAGATTGTCAAAGTGCATGAGGCGTGAGGTATGTACTCCAGCACACCGTAGTTTTCATTTCGGGGATGCTGTCGGGTCTGGGCGAAATCAGTTTTTCTTGAAAGTAGTGTGGACAGTCCGATCGGAGATCGCGATCGATGGAATGAGATGTCCTTTGAAAGAGGAGGAGAAAGACGCACAGAGAGAGAGAGACAGCGACAAAGAAAGGTCCGCAGAGTCAAGGGTTAAAGAATTCACGATATCGAATCAAAGTAGACGAAGGCTGCATGCCGCGCACAACCCCCAACTTTTTTTCTCCATCTTGCTACATGTTCACACGGTCAGGTGTTCAATATCTGCTGCCAACGCTTGTCGTCCTTCGATGCACCCAGGAACCCCGGACGTGCATCATGTACGAGTCCCCCCACCGCATCGCCGACACTCTCGGGGGACTGCTGAAGGCGTCCTGTCCGCCTCCCTCGGAACATGTTGGCGGCCGCAGCGGAACCGATTCGGGTGGTCCACACGAAGGAAACGAAACGACAGCGTCGTCAGAGGCACAGCTCGCTGCCGGGCGAAGGTGAACACACGATTATGCACAGCAGCGGCCCACCAACTTAGACGGGGGGGAGTGTACTCATGTAAACGCATGCCTTAGTCTTGACAGGGGCGGGGCGGAGGGGATGAGGTTTTTCCAGTGGTGAGTGGCAGACACCGTTGGCTGTGGGTGCCATGGTTCATACCGCAGGCACTTGTGTGAAGGTATGATGGCGGAAGGTTTTGTTTGAGGAAGGGTGCTTGCTCCGTTCGAAATGGCAAGGAAACGCGCTGCTGCCGCTGCTGCCGTACCTCTGTTCGGTGGGCGTTCCCATCTCTCCCCCCCCCCCGCTCCCTCCCTCCCCCGATCTCTTGCTGAATTGGAACAAACGCTCATGATTTGGCAAGAAATCTGGGGGAAATTCAGCAACATTGGTGGAACCACCAAGGCGTTCTGCGCAAAGTACATGGGCATCGGGTTCTACTGTACCTCGGAGTTGAAGGCGGGTAGATAAATGGCTAGAAACACTCGTTGTCCAGCCTCTTGACCCGAGAGGGGAATGCACCGCCCGTTCCGTGCGGTCCCCAGCCGAACCATACCCCCCTCCTCTCCGCCCGCCTGCCCAAACACCCGCAATCGATGCAGGCCGGTCGTCCTCGCCCGCGAGCTGACCAAGCTCCACGAGGACATCTTCCGCGGCACGCTCGCCGAGGCTGTGGCTCGGTACGGGGGAGGGGATGGGGTACCAGCTCGAGAAGGAGAAGGGCGAGATGGTGTCCCCAGCGATGGGGCTAGCGGAATGGGCAGTGGCGGTGGTGGTGGTGATGGGGTAGTCAGGGACCCGAGGGGGGAGTTTACGGTGGTTCTCGGGCCTCGTGCGGCGGCGGTGGGCGCGGGGGAAGAGGGGCAGGCGAGGGCGCTGGAGGCGCTGGAGGCCAGGTGAAGTTGAATTCTGGCGATGCCAAGTTCCAGGCGATGAGACTTGAGGGCACTAGTGGTTGTGATGCTGGCTCGCTGGTGGTAGTTGGTGAAGGCGTTTTTTTTGGAGGTTTTGTCTCACGATAAAGTGTACGGGCGGTGGGGTTCACACGCGAGGCATCATCCAGTAAAAAACTGCAGTCCGGCCAGACGAGGAAAAATAGCATGCTGAAGAAAAGCCGTAGTAGACGACAAGAACGATCTTTCTCGTGCAAGAACCCCCAACGAGACGGCGAGAAACACGGACGTGACGAGAGTGGATAGGGCGAAGAGACTATTCGCACAAACCAGACTAAATACACGAGGAGAGAGCTAAGTGCACCCGAACCAGTCCGAGCAGACGCAAAACAGGACACCAAAAAACAAAACTATGGGTGGGTGATGATCAAGTCGCCTAGTTCTTCGTACGTAGTAGGGGAACAGAAGGGCTTAAAGGTGGTCTTTGCTGGCTTTTCTTTGAATTTGTCCAGCGCAGACTTGCGGGCCTTTTTAAGGCAGATACTCCCTATTTTTAAATGGCGGTCACCGCAGCGGACGCCGGCGATGTCGAAGACGACTCCGTCCGCTGCGGTGGCTTCCACCTCAAAAAAGGGCGTAGCTGCCTTGCAGAGGTCCACAAGTCTGTGCTGGACAAATGAAAAGGAATCCCAGCAAATACCACCTTTTAAGCCCTTCTGTTCCCCCGCTGAGAAGGCCAAGGCGACTTGATCGTCACCTACCCGTAGTTTAGTTTTTTCGCGTCCCGTTTTCCGTCTGCTCGGACTGGGGAGGTGTGCATTTGGCCCTCTCCTCGTGTATTGTGGTTTGTGCGAATAGTCTTTTCGCCGTAGTATCCATATGCTCTTCTCCTGCGGTGTATCTCTCCTCCGGCAAATTACCGTCTTGAAACCGCTTCAGCACGTTTGCCATTCATCCTCAAAAGAGCCACCCCGACGATTTTTTTATTTTATTTCGTCGCGCAACCTCCCCCGCGACCGTTGCCAAAACGTCTCGCTACCCCTACCCCCAGGCTTACGGAGCTGACGGCGGGAGGAATGAGCACGTCTTCCGCAGTGAAGATGGTCTCCAAGGACCTCAACCTCAAGAAGTCGGACGTTTATCGGGTGGCGTTAAGTCTGCGGCCTTCTTCCGTCAAGGAGGACGACGGCTTAGACTGATCTTTTTTTTTTTCTTTTGCCGAGTAGAGAGAAACGTGTAACTGGTGGTGACGTTGGATTCCGTTCATCCTGGAAAACGCGGCGTCTAGAAAGCGTAACGAGCTTTCATCCATTCGTCTGACGATTCGTTTTTCCATGTGTAGCGAAGGCGCGTCTTCAATCAAACCCAAGAACGGCATTTTGTAAGCGCAAACATGCGGGAGCTGTTTCGACGGATGACCACACTGTGGTGTCGGCCCTTAGGGTAAAGGGCCCCTGACGCTGCCTGTTTCTTGTGTCGAACGTCACCGAGACAAAGTTGGCATCTTGGAACACGTCGCGGAAGGAGAGAAATCGCACCACAATTTTTGCCACGGGCTGGTTGAAATCACTACAACTGCCGTTGTTAGGTTTCCTCAATATTCTTGCTTGTGCCGACCTACTTGCACCATTACAAAGAACAGACGCGAACGTGGGTTGTCCCAGCACACACACCAGACAGGAAACTCCATCTATGGTCACAACTCTATGCATGCGGAACCAAGTGTTGAACAGCCGCCGTGCTCGCGCGACTTCGGAAACGATTTTGGAGTTCGATTTGGTTGATTGATTTCCCATTCGCACACCACGCGGCAGTATTTTGTGTGTGTCCGACCATGTGCGCGACCTTGTCCATTAGCTGAGAGCTGTCAAGGAAGAGGAAGAGACTGCACGATGGAAATTGAGAGGAAACTTCACAGGTATCACGCCGTTCGTTAGAAAAACCGGGCAGTGGTTCACGCTGCGCAATCCACAACAAATCATCAGCGTGAACTGTACGCATGCATGTCGACATGTATGTGGCATCGTCTCTTTCCCGCCAAGCGGGCGTCAGCCATCAGGCAAGTGCTACGCCCAAATGCCTCCAAAACGAGGGGCGGCAACCACTCAGTCCGCGAACACCGAACACATCCGTCCAACCCACCGGTCAAACACACGCTTGGTGCCCGTGACCCGATATACTGTCACTGACGCATTCTCGACAAACAGCGCTGCCCAGGCCGAGAGGGCGTAGCAGCTCCGGCGGCGGTCTACCGAACCGACGAGCATCAACGTTTAACAAGCTGCTAAATGCAAAAAACAACGCCTGTTAAAAAGAAAATAAAATATCTCCCGAGCATGTACTAGGTTAACTATCTGGGAAGGGCACACGGCACACGCGGAGCAACCAGACCTACTATCAAACCCTAAAGATACTTTCCCCGATCTTTTTCCTCCATCCGCCCCCCCCCCGGTCATACTGTGGAACAACAATGCTAGATGAAAATCTACCACCAAACCTTCGGATGAAACGAAAAAGCATGAGACGTCTCAAGAGAGGTGCTTTGACGACGACGACGGTGGAGAGGCGATCGATCCAAGACAGAAGCGAACGGCAACTATTCGGCCCGCGAAAACACACGCGTGCCCACAGCAACAGAAACTGCTGTGCACACGAGTGAAAAGAAAAAGAGCATGTCACAATACACAACACAGCAACAAAAAACAACAACAACAAAAGAAGCCCCGCCCTCTCGGACTCGAAGTATGTACACCATATGATTGGAAACTCTCCGGTTCACACAACAGCAGGTGGTGTTATCATGCTCTTTCGATCACTGTTGAGAGCCGGCCTTGTAGGAAGTCCTCCCTCCAGCCGTGTAGAAGCGTGCAGAAGAGCAGGGCGTCGAGGTAAAAAAACGCCCAAGCGCACCAACCAACAACGGACGAGCCGAACAGCACCCCCCCCCCGTCCCTCCTCTCCCTCCAGCAACCACGCGGGTAAGGACACCAAGGGCAGACGCGAAATGGTTCGAACCAGCAGCATATCGCAAGCCTCTCGCGACCACACACAATGGTCACACTTGACCTTTTCTTCTAACAGACGTCGCCAAGCCACACCGCAGTCATCGACATCATATTACTCGCGCGATTCGTCGGACCTTAGTAGATAACATTTCCTCGTTACCGAAGATCAAACCGTCGCTGTGTAGTACCCAGAGAGAGAAAAAGGCCACGAGGCCACCGGTAACAGCAGTAGGGGGGGGGTTCGCGGTTGATACAACGTTCACGGTCGACCACCCACCCACCCCGCCCTCCCACCTGCCTTCGTATCTAGAAACACCATGCGAGGCGCAGAAGAGCATCAATGTTGCACCCCTGCTCTTCCGTTTGCGTCTTCCCTCTCCAGCCTGTCCGTACAGTTACGAAACAGTACCACGTCGACAGCACTCTTTCGCCGTCCCTCACCCCCTCTGTGACGTCACGCCGACCGGCCCCCGACATCGTCGTTGGAGACTCAAAACACGTCCGGGGGGCGCTGGCCGCCCATGAAGTCGCTCGCTCCCGAGTTTCCCATGGCCTGCACGCGCACGGAGAGGGCGTAGTTCGTCTGCTCGAGCCGCTTCACGTACTCCGCCGCCTGCCCCGCCGCCTGCTGGAGCCCGTGCAGCTGGCCCTCCAGCTGTGAAAAAAAAAACACGAGGCAAACAAGGTGTGTGCGTACGCGCACAAAATAGGGGAAGGCGACCCAAAAATTACGTTTCGCACGAACACACTTGAGGAAGCAGCAAACGGAGGGGACGGCATGAGCGACGTATCCCATGGAGGGCAAACCGTAGCAGTGCAACGAAGATTTGTTGGGCAGACTCCAGGCGGGTGAGGGTAGGGGGGGGGGGGGGGGGGGAGGTGTGAACGTCCACTAGGGCCGACCCACCAAGTAACGGTCAGCCCCGGCAAGACATCAGAGGGCATAATTCGGCTGCCAGCCACGATTGCACACCCCGCTGCCGCCCATGGACGCAGCAGTAGTGCATGCATGTCAACGGAGGAGGATCCTCAACATCGCCGCTGCTGGGCTCGCCCGCGCTGAAACCCTCTCGGCCACTGATGCCGACGGCCCTGAAAGGGGGCCACGGCATATCAAGTCTCCCGTCATCTCCCGCGCTGCCGCTCCTGAGCCACGACATCTCCATCTGTTTCCCACGAGGACTGACAACGGCATGCGACGCGCCGTTGGGTCGCATCGCATCCCGTTGTCAGTCATGGTGGAAACCAAGGCAGCGGGCGTGGCTCACGAGAAGCAGTGCGGGGTATCAATGACGGAAACCTCCTTGTGCCGCCGCCCTTCCCGCAGCGTCCGCCGGGGGTATGCGCGGGCGACCCCTGCGACTCTCGGCATGGACTACTACTGCCATGTCGGGGGCTGCTGCTGACCGCCGTTGGATTGTCCGTGGTCAGCGCATGGACCCCCACAAGCACCAATCTGTCAGTTTTCTTCCCGTCTTCAACCGCTCTTTTGTTCCTCCTCCCTCTTTCACCTTGGAATTACGTCCGGACGGGGTGGCACCGCCGAAGAGTGCCACGCGGGGACCACCAGCTTGCTAAAAACAACGCCAAACCGCATGCACACCAGAACAGCCTACAAACCGCAAACACCTCCATGCCTGCAGCCAACAACAGCAGCGGTGGGGGCCCACGCCCCAGAAAACTCTTCCAACAACAAATCCAACAAACGCTTGGATGCAAACAACCCCGCACAAGAAAAAACGCCGCCGCAGCCGTTTCTTTACCCAAACCCAAACCCAAACCCAAACATACCTCCTTGCCCTTGGTGTTTTGGATCCCGACGGCACGCTTGAGGATACGGTTCTCCGCGGAGAGTCGCTCGAGCTCCTTCTGGAACATCCCCACGCCTTCCTTCAGCCGACCGTTCTCCTCGCGCGCCATGTTGAGACCGCTCTCCTTCTCCGCCGCGTGCGCCTGCAGGACTGCAACCTGCGTGTCCACGTCGATTCAACAAGCGGGAAGGGGGGGGGGGGGGCGAGAAATTGGTTCAAGGGGCTGACTCGCGCAGGGCTCCAACCTATGCGTAGTGTCGACTCCGTAAGGCGGAGAAACACGAGAAGTTGATTGGAAGGCGTACAAAGGGGGTTCGGACTACAGCAGCACTGCTACTTGCCGTAACGCGGGGCGAATGAGTGCAAAGGCGCAAAGGTGTGCGGTCGATTTGATAAAAGCCTTGATTGCTCCACAGCCAACAGGCTGCCAACGTCAAAAAGGGGGTCGATTTCGAACCCCCCTTGGTTGTGAAGCAATCGATCTCTTAACACCGATCGCGCACGAGCGCTTGGGACACCCGTGCGATCGCCGGCACTACTGTATCACGGTACGCACTAGACAGCAGGTTCGGCGGAATCGTCAGCTTCTTGCGGCCGCCAAGCTGTTCGTGGCACGGAAGCGTAGTGCTCGCCCGACTCCCATGCGTTCGCTTTGCAGGCCAGCAAAGGTCGTGCATTCTCAATTTGCGTACAAATAAGCTTGAGAAAAGAAAAGTACCAAACCATGGCACAGCCTTTACATGATCTACCAGTGCCGTTTGTAGCAGCGAAAGACGCCGGTGTCTAGACTCTACTTTACCTCACAGCTTCATGTGTGTGTTTTTTTATTTTTAGCATCGACCGCGCTAACCGGCTGACCAATGAAAACACGTCAGTCTAAAACACTTCTAACTTCCATTCAACTACTATGCGTGTGTGGTCGTCCCATCTATTCTGGGGCCGGTGTACAGGTCTTTCGGCGTATGTACCTGACATTAACAGATCAGCCTGGGTCACACGAGAGGAACGTCACACAGGAGCTCCTTTTCATGTTTTGTTTTTTTGCCCCACTTTTCCCTCTGAGGTGCTTGCCTTTGGTATACGGGAACGGAAAGGCAGCAATCAAACGGAGGTTGTAGCATTTCCAGTCACACGCCATCCACCGGCACCGGCATTTAGCAGCAAGTAACTCGGGGTAGGCGGCATCCGATGGCCGATCGTGGTACTACAACACTGGGAGCGCTCTCGATGACGCCCCACCCGAATTTGTTGGCACAGGAAACAAAATGCCTACAATAGCCCATGGTTGCACCGCGATTCTTCTGTGTGCTGGGAACTCATGTACATATCCGCAAGAGCCGGGGGAGAGGTGGCACCCCCATGTTAACCGTTATTTCATAGCGTGTTTCTCCACAACTGCTGTGTATGCGTAGGAGGGTAGGAACACCAACCGATATTTCTCCCCTCGACGAGACATTTCCAGCACCACCCTTTTCGGCAGTTGTACCTGGCTGTGGAGAACAACGCTGCAAAAAAAACGGGAACACGGGGGTGCCACTTTCTTCCACATTTACGGTATACCACACAAACAACACAAAACAGACAGACGCGTTTTTTTTATCTCCGCGTCACCCCCAGTATCACGCCGATTGACATGGGATTCCAAACGGCGTGGCGTGTGCGCATCATCAGTACTCCTTCCTAGGCAACAAAAGTGAGACCTGACATAACTCGCGGCGAATAAAAACGCTTTGGGCGAATAACCGGATAAAAGCCCGAACGCAGCCTCGACGAATGATAGGAAGGCAGGGCTTTCATGCCGTGTTGGGGTGACCTACATAGCTCTCTGCAAGTAATTCGACGTGGTTTGGTTTCGCCCCTTGGTTGGCAAGGGCTTGGGTTGACATACTTCTAGATGTTCGTGTTCGCGGCGAAAGCCACCGCTACAGTTGTTTGGCACTACAGCAGCAGTAGGTTGGAAACAGAGAGTTCTTTAGGGCACACTGCATATGCACAGCATCGCAGAACGACTATGAATAGGAGCTGCTCGCCCTGGGACGGACCCGGATTCCCTTGCGGACCTGCTACAATACCACGCGAATACCGGACCTCACATGGTTCGGAAGCGCACCCCACGGCACGGAGGCGAGTATATACCAGATTCACAAAACTCCGTCTCGGAAGGAGAACTAATATATCTCGGAAGGAGACATATGCGGGCGCAAAATAAATAACCAAGAACACATCATGGGTGAATGAATATACACCAGCAACATGCCCGGACACCAGCAATCGTCGGCATGCCTGCTGCGTGCATCTATGACGCCCCCCCCTCGTGTACAGAATACCGCCTTTTGTCAGTACCACGTATCGTTGGTGTTGTGAACTTGCAGGTCAGGGAATTTATGCTTCAATTACGAACTAGAACAAACACACATCCCACAGGTTGATGTGTGTGTGCCCGGCCTTCACCACGCGTTCCGAGCCCTACCGCCTTTGCGTAACGCCCCGAAGCCTGCAACTTGTACGGTACCACAGCAGCGTTACAGGAGATGATGGGCGTCGCGCACTTGATCTTAAAATTACAGCAGGTGCCTTCTTTGTGCGTGTGCCCGAACGGTTGTCCAAACGCGACACACACACACACAGACGGATATAAACACGGCGAAATATTCGTGGCGCGCCACTGCCCCGAATCAAACTGACCTCGCGCCGTAGAGCTGCCAGCTCGCCGTCCTCTGCCCCCGTCCGTTGGGCTCTCTGCTGGTGCTGATGCTGCTGCGAAAAGGAGCCGCCGCCAAAAAGTCCGGAGCCACGGGAGGCGGAGGCCGCCTCCCCTGCTCCTCCCGAAGAGAAGTGGGCAGACGGCTGCAGGGGCGAGAGCGGGCGCGCGCGCTTGCCCGCCCGCACCGGCGACGGGGATCGCTGCTGCTGCTGCTGCTGCTGGTCGGATTCGCTTCGGTCGAACGAGCCTGCTGAGGACGAGAGCAGCGGCGTTTACACGCGTAAAATAAGCGTGAGCAGTAATAATAGGATGTTCGGATCGGAGAAGAGCTGGTGATAGTGTGTCGTACCAAAAATGGTGTCTACGTCGTCGCTTGTTGACACTGTAAAACCAAATTAAAAATAGGAGAGGGCACGTTCGTTCGTCTGCCATCTTATGTCTGACACGCTTTTGCGGTGAGCCTTGGGGGAAGGAAACAAACCCCGAGCTACTGCTGTGGGGAAGGACCAAAGGGTCTACCTGTGACATGGAGAGGTTCGCAACGGGAACACCGAGGCTACAACGCGAGAGTCAGAAAGAGCACACGTTCGAGCGAGCGAGCGAGCGACCGAATCTCACCTTGATCGAGGCCTTGACCGAGTCTTCGCTTCTTGGATGAAAAGTCTAGCTGGCCCCCCATCAAGGTGCCGTGCGAGTGGGGACTCAGGACGCGCTTCCCCAGCATGCAGGGCGAGTTGCTGCTGAATACCTCTGCCATCGCTGCGCCGGTTTCTCCTCCGCCCGGCTAGCTGGACGACAGCAAGCACCCGCTCCTTCTTGGGTCTGAATTATGCCCCCTCTTCTTGAGAAAGCTGGGTCCTGTTTTTTGCGAACTACAAGACACGGGCCCTTCGTCTGCTACGTGCTCGGAATGCCCCCAGCTACAGCAGCAGCAGCACCCGCCCTCAACACCTGCGTATCGTCGATTCGAGTTACCTCCCGCGGAACTCTCCCCCTCTCTCGGTAGTAGTAAGGCTGACTCGCTACCTATTGCTGGTTGGTGCGACCCGAAAAAAAAAAATAGCCGACGAGGCCAACAACCTCAAACCTCAAACTCCCCCCGAACGAGTGAAACCGAAACGCAATAAAAAATTACTCCGCATTTTGTGACTGCGGCTGCTGTGTGTAACGCACACACCGGGTGAACACTGAAGGAGTCGGTAGAACACGGCCTGCCCATGCATACTTTCTTGGTTATTGGCTGCAGCAACACCGAGGGTCAGTGGGGAGAGTATCCAGATTGATAATTTGTTCCCGTTTCTCGAGTCCATGCCCTAAAAAAGAAGAGGACACAGGCAACATCACATCAGCAGCGGCACAGCGGGGGGGACAGCATTTTATCTTCTACTCCTGACGCCTGGGGCTGTGCCCGTTGTTGTTGTTGCGCAGGAGCCGGTCATGGACGAGACCCCAAAGACAGACCCTCTGGTGAGTACGTACTTCGCTCGCCGGGCGCATCTACCCTAATGCCCACGTCTCCGCGCCATCGGGTCGACTCGCGTGCACATGTTTCTGCTGTGTAAGCACCAGTCCGCATGGAGGATGGTTCAAGTTGCAAGCCAGGTGTTAACGACGCCCAGCAAGTCGTAAGATAGTGCCGCGTCCGAGCCGGCATAGTAGTGCGTCTTGATGCCCGGTTTATTTGCGTCTTTATCGTTCTATCGGTCTGCAGCAAAGCTCTACGACGTAGATATGGCGTCCAGGTGTAGTCTACGTGTAGACGAGTACACTCTACACTCTACACACCTGCTTTCAGCCTTGTTCAACCCCGTCCGTATCAAAGATGGTTGTACATACGCGGGATCGTCGGTGCCAACCCAAAGGAAGTGAAGGTCCCGAAGCCAAATCATGCGTATTTCGGAAAGATTATTTGACAAGATGCCCTTAGCAGCGCCATCAACAAAACCTTCCAGATTGCGAGAAAATCGGAGTCATGCTCGTCCCTCCGAAGAGGGGGGGGTGGTATACAACGTTACAAACAAACAGCCTGCCAACCAATTTCTTCGTATGTAATTGGCATGTGTTTTGTAGCCATGCCCGTGCGCATTGCACGCTTCCAAGGGCATCTTCCAGCCGAAAACCTTGGGAAACTCCTTGAAACATGTACCGCGGTATGTGTGGCGGTTTCGTCGGGGCCTCCCTGCCGGAGGTACTCTTTTCAATACTACTGTACACGATTGCACCCCACCCGGTGGACGGGAACCTGCAGGAAGGTATCTACATTGGTCTAGGTATCTATTGTCCCGAAAGGTATTGGCCAACTTCCAGCACACAATTAATGTGAAGCCAACATCAACAACGAATAGTTGTTGCTGCGATAGGCCGTAGCCAGGACATGTACCCACGTGTTCGCAAGAATAACGCGATGGGTTTTCGCCAAGAAAAGCCTCGCACTACGCCATCTACCTGTGCCTGAAACTCGACTTGTGGGCTACCCAACACGCTCCTGTGTCTTCGCTGACACCAAGCCACTCTCGAAACCTCACACTCCGTGCCATGTCCGTGCCATGGCTACTTCATTGCCCTTTTCGCCATATTTTTTCAACGCCGTTCCTCACCCACCACCACCACCACCAACGACGGCGACGACGGCGACGATGGCGACGACGGCAACGATGACAACACCGACGATCGTGCACGGCGATCAGGGGGGGGGTGGCAGTAGCCTCTCGAGCCAGCCGGACGTGGAGCTACAAGTGCAGCCTCGGCCAAAGCCGTGCTCGTTGCCCATCGTGTTGGGTTCGTCGTCAGGGTACCGCCGGAGGATAATGGATTCCCTGGGATGGGAGGTAGGTGCGGTGAAAAACAGCACGGGAGTCTGTCTGCCTACTAGTACGTGCCCGCGGGAGCGGCGAAGGGGGGCCGGCACTCAGCACTGGCCGAAGTGACACGCGTTGCCGTGTATGGATCCACTTGCCCTTCCGTTCCTGCAACGCCGGGACGGGGCACGTTAGACTTTCGCATAGTAGGGGTTTCTGCGTCACGCCGAGGAAGAGGGAGGAGGGAGTCATACCGCCTAGGGTGGGTCGTATTCTCGCCCGGCAATTGAATCTGATTAGCGCGGAGGGAGAGTGAGTGTGCTCATAGACCTTTCTTGCTTCGCACCCTTGGCGAACGCTTTCGTGGCAAACCCTTTCTTCGTTTTCTGCCGGAAAGCCATGGCGAAGGTGCCTCGTGAGGTCGACTTTACGTTTGTGTCCCTGGTCGCCTGATCTCATCATATTGTAGTGCCACAGCTGCAGGACTCTTGACATACTCCCTTCCCAAATTGCACCCTGATTCCCCGCATCCTCACGACAACAGAAGCTAATTATTGGGTAACCCTCCCCCCCCCGTCCCCGTCCCCGTCCCTTCCACGAAACCCCTCCAACAGTTTTCCACGGCCTCTCCCGACGTCGACGAGAAGGCCATCCGCGATCCTGACCCGAGAAAGATGTGTGCCGAAATCGCGCGGGCCAAGGCGAGAGCGCTGGCGGAGCGCCTGGACAAGCCCGCGGTCCTCATCACGGCAGACCAGGTTGATAGCTCTTGTTCTGTGGTTCGTGAGTTTGTGCGATATTTTGCAGGCGGGAATTTCCATCGGGCATGTCCTCCTCGGGCGAAAGACGGAGGGATGCCGGCCTGAGCGGGACAAACACGACGAGCGCGCGTTGTAGCGTTGTAACATGTATGTGCATTGTAGTTGTTCATTTTAAGTCGGTATCGATCTCGCCAATGTGACAGATAGCCGAGGAGGAAGAGTCACCTCGGCAAACCAGACGCGAGAAAACTTTACCTTTGGCTTCGTACGTTCGTGAAGCACGATTGTTGGTGCCCGTTAGCCGCCTACTAGTAGTCGGGGGGTTCCTGCTGCGCTTAATTCGTGTGTACCATACGCACCCGAATCTTTATGACACAACCATTCGTCCAAGGCTGTCTATGCATATCAAAATGATGTGGTCTTGCTTCGTTTCTTGTACCGCCGTTGGGGTCGAACAGGTGTGCCTTTTCGACGAAGGTCACGGCCGCGGGGAAGAGGTTAGGGAGAAGCCCGAAAGCGTCGAAGAGGTGCGTCATGTTTTTCATTTCGTCTCCGAGAAGTTCTTATTCAAGAACAACCGCTTGCGGGGCTGAATGTTTCGTGTCGGGGTTTCTAAAAGCACTCGCAACCGTGCCACCACGTACCACGTGAGAACCTGGGGGTTGAGGACTTGAGGCTAAAACAAAGGGTATAAACTAAAATGTAAGAACTCGGCAAAAAAAACAATCAGGAGTGGGTAAACAATCAGGAGTCTTTCGTGTACATTCCATTACAGGTTCCGTCCCTCCGGGGCAATGGCGAACTTTTCTACCGTACTGGAAGCGTCAGAGCGAAGCGTCTTGACCTCCAGGATTCAAAACCCACCGCTCATCCGAATACCCTCTTCGTTTCTCAGGATCCTTCCGTATTTCAATGAACCACTATTGAAGAGCTGGCGCTGCTGTGCACCCGTGCCCGCCCCACACAGGCGAAGGCGTTCCTCCGGAGCTACTCCTGCCGGTCGGTGAAGACCCTGAGCGCCCTCTGCGTGACTAACCTCGACAACGGGCGGGCGGCGGAGGGCGTGCACGAGTCCACCGTGGCCTGGCGGGAGATTTCGCCGGCCGTGGTCGACGACGTCATCGCCAGGGGGAACGTTATGGGGTCGGTGAGGAGCGAGAGAAACGGAAATGGAAAACCGTGCGGATGTATTGTGGTAGTAGTGTGGGAGTGGGTGTCTTCCGCGGGATAACCGTCACTATCGCCATCCCGCATTCTCGATCGACCGACTTGCAGCACCGACGGGTCGCAGCCTTTTGGCATCCGCAAATTCTATTTTCCAACTGACGCGAGAAGGACTAAGGTAGTCGGGTGCTTCTCGATCGACCGACTTGCAGCACCGACGGGTCGCAGCCTTTTTTGTTCCCGCCCGCAAACCACGCCGGTGGCTTCGCCGTCGCAGTCCCAGGTCCCGCACTGTCCGTGGAGGGCAGGGTCATGAGACCGTTCGATAGCATCCATCGTCAATCAACAAGAAAACTACCCTAGCACGGAGAGCTTTTTGATGTTTGCTTAGCCTACCTATGTTCCCGCACTTGATTTTTGAATGTTGCTTGTGCGTTTTTGCTACTGTCGACGCAACTTGTCGAACCGTCAGGCGGGCGGCTTTGCGCTGGAAGAGCCAGGCTTGAGGTCGCTGGTGGACAAGATCGAGGGCTCGGTCGATAGTGTCCTGGGCTTGCCCGTTGAACTCCTGTGCACCCTCGTCGAGCGCGCCACGTGTGACGTGACCTAGGGAAAGAGAGAGGCGGCCGATAGTGGTAGCCGGGGTGGCCGCATGTGCGGGATTGAGAAATAACACCACAGGACCGTCAGTGGGGACTCGGGCAGATGTGTCTCTTAAGAGAGAGCGAGAGAGAGAGAGAGAGAGAGAGAGAGAGAGAGAGAGAGAGAGACAGACAGACAGACAGACAGACAGACAGACAGACAGACAGACAGAGAGTGGAGTGACAGAGAGAGGCCTAGACTAAGAGAGTTCAGTTTTTCGCTTTTAGGTGCGTCGGTTGGGGAGGTGTACTGGCACGCTTCACACGCAAGACAGATATGTAGTTGCATGTCTTTGTGTGTCCTAGATGGCGTTGGCAGCAACACATAGCATGGCTCCAGCACAGGTGTTCCTCGCTTCGGTTGTGCGCGAAGAGAAGTGAATGTTTCGTTGATAATGACAGATTCGCCAATGGCAGTCTCACCATTTTGCGGACAGAGGTGGGGGGAAAAATGTTTCGGACGCTTTGCAGGCCATGCGGTCGTTCGTGTGTGCTGTTGCAGAACGATGTGTTATTCCGCGCAGCGTGGTTACTGTACCCCCTAATTTGATACTATAGGGCGTCACCCGCCCCGCCTGAAGAGCTCGTGCGAATAAGCTTTCGTAGTAAGACGCGCCAGAAGGGTAGCGTCATGTTAATGTGTAAACTTTGGGCGCACGTTTGGTGGTGGGTAAATCGCAGATCGAAAAATCGCGTTTGAGATCCAGTGAGTACCCCGTCCCTGGGGGTTAGAAAACGTCGGTTTGAGATTTTGTCCCTTGATTATCCCCTCCGGGGGGGGGATGGGGCGCGAACCGGCCACGGTTTGCTCGTATACTCACCAAGAAAAAGCGGGGATAGGTGGGTATCGTTCCACCGTGAGGCCCCAGGATAAGTAACAGGATAGAGCCAATTGTTACTAAACAAAACATGAGTATTTCTGTCCTTGCCCCCCCCGCCTCTTCATGCTCCGTCCTCTCGAGGACGCGTGGTCAATGGTCCCCACCGCCTAAGGCATGCACAACATGAGAAGCGCCCCTCCCCGCGCGCCCCTCCATCCCAACCCAAACGTATGCATTGCATTGACTGCCCACCTCTTCCAGATGCCCACAAAGAAGGACATACATACATGGCTGCAGAGCCTCGTTGTGCGGACGGGCGAGAGCGTCCAATCGGTATACCGAAACCCTTATATCTGGAGTATAATATGTGCCACCAGGCGAAAGATTCCGAAACACGCCCACACACGTAACCTACCTTGGACCACCCAGGCAACGCATGCCGAAAAATACACACAATCTATGCACACATGATGATGGGATGGCGACTCTTAAGTCATACCACACTCTCTGCGAAGACCTCTACGTCAGCATGCCCTTCCTGATCCTGCCGACATCACACGGGACACACGCTCGCGTGTTTGTCCAGCTTTTGGTCCGTCCAAGTACCGCCATACCACTCTTGGCCGATGACAAGAGCAGAGCTCTGTCTGCCAGGCAGAACCATATCCCTCGGCCGATCAACGACGCCGCCGACTGCAAGACAAAAGCGTGAGAGAACACACCCGGGCGACCCAACGAAGAAAAAAAAAACACGCACGCTACTTACAGGAAGTATCCGCGAGCTTTTTAACCCATCGCACCAACCGAAAAAACGCGACATAATGACTTGCCCCCGCGCGTTGCCTCGGTGAAGCAAAGCAGCAGAACTGACGAAGGAGGCACGTAGCCGACGGGCAAAAACAGCCGACTTTTGAGGCTCACTTACTTCCACGAACGGGTGGTCAGGTGACTCCGCTCTCCGCAACTGTGGACGCGTCGACGTGATGCTCCAACCGGATGCACTGCACTGCAAAACACGGTGGACCGTGCACACAATGTACTACAGTAGTACAGCCAAGAACATGTCACCCATCGAACTGCGGTGAATAAACCTCAACGCGCGCACATTTTCCGGCGGCGAGCATGCTATGAGACGAACGCCGGCGCATAAAAAAAAACGCTCAAAAACATGTACGAAGGACAATACAAAAATGTAACGGTTCGACCCTCCCTCTCTCCGCTCACCCCACCCTCCTCACTCAATAATATGCAAAACAAAAACAACACGTGGCAAAAAAGTTGCATGTGTGAGCAAAGAGGTTATTGATGCAACCTTACCCTTCTTATTGGGACACAAGACACACAATCGCAAACCAGATTGGTTGGGCTTGAAGGAAACCCAAAGAATAGGCACGAAGAACGTGCTCCCGGTCGATGCGCAAAAACAAGCATGACAACAATCTCTGCTGCTGTAACTGAAGAACTAAACTGACGGTGTGATTTAAAATGCGTACAATGCACGGCGTACGGTGGAGTGCTGCAACGTGGCACATGCCACGGAATAAAGGTCCGCGGGGATACCGTGCTCCATCCCGCAAGCAAGGCGGAAATGGTAAAAAATGAAATCACGCCTTTGCCACAGGAGTGTAATACGCATTAAAAAAAAAAACGCACACACACCCACACCCACACACACACACACCCCTCGTTCGATTGTTTCGGGCCCGCTACAGTAGTTCAACAACCAACAACGAGGCCAGAACCGAACGAAAATATTTCGGGCAAAAGCCTCTTGCGAGATATTTCGACCCGAGTCCCCTTGGCTCGGACGACACAACCTCTCCCCCCGCTGCGTGCACAGCAGCAGCAGCAGCAGTTGGCTCCTTCGGGAATGCCTCTGAGAGATAGACGCTTCGAATCGAGCCGATGGTTCTCGCGACGCAACCTCTCCCCCCGCCCCGCTGCTGCACAGCTGTTGGCCGGACCTGCCGGCCGGGGGGGGGGGGGGGGGGGGGGGGGGGGGGATA